GTTAGATGTGTTGTCGAAATACTCATATTCATTGTACATTGGTACGTTACAAGTAAGGCACTGGTCAGTAGCATACTATCGTTGGCAGTTCCCAATCTGGAGGGAAAGGTTCAAGTACCAATTGACCGAGTTTGCAAAATAAATTCGCATATCAGGGGAAATCTCTATTGTGGAGAGGTTCAGTAACTTGTTTGTTTCATACGAAACAAGCCAATGGGTGCAGTCTCGTCTCGTGAAAATCTCGTACTTGTATGATTGGATTTGTTTAGTCAAGTCTGGGCTGTTTGATTTGTGAGTACCGCCGAGATTGCACTGCCCCAAATAAAGTTTCGTGCCGCCAAAGCAAGAATTACGATCTGCAATCTGTTTGTAGTACCTGTAAGAATGTGAAGTACATGTATCGTACTTTCTCTGTTGCTGTTTCAGTTGCCGTCATGTTGCTAAAGAAAGGTTCAGTAGAGAGGTTCTGCAAAACGAAAATTCGAACGAAGTTTCGCGACAGTCCTTGCGAAAGTGTGTGCGAATTTTTGCACGAACTTTGCGTTCTGCACATTTTCGTAGTTTGCGCGGGCCAAGTGCCATGACCCGATCTCACGAAATTTCCTACGACAGTTCATTTCGCGTTCCCTGCAAGTTTCGCGTCCAAAGGTCCGAAGTTTCGCACTTCATGATGTAGAGCGAAAGTTTGTACGCATTTTCGTTTTGCAGAATCTCTCTAGTGACTCAATTGTTTCATACGAGACGAGTCAATGAGTCGGTGTGGCTTAGAATCTTTCGCTGTAGAAGAAATCTATTCGTATGTCTATTGGAGATATAATTGTATTCTCTGGTTATAAAATAGGTTAAGCTCACAGAATAAATACCATCGGTCCCTTGGAGTTCGTAAAGAGGTTCGACTGGATATCATTCATTCTCACCAAAAGATGTGTAAGATTTTATTATTGTGGAGTGCCTTGTTTATCTCTCAGTACCTCCAATCATAGCCTTGCCCCTTTTCTCCTCAGGATCAGTGTAGTTGTTGGAATGAGGTTTTGGACTCAGCAATGTATTCGTTTACATTTTAATACATGTTTATTGTTCCTCCTTTGCTGTGTTGTTTTAGACAATCGTGGACTAACAGTTTGAAGTCATTGAACTACTTCCAAAAGTTGTATCGACATCAACAGGATTACGATTTCAGTTTCAATATTATGCTGGATGACCTTATCACGATAACCCATGACTATAAACCATTATAAAAACAGAATCAACAAAAACATCTGCGACACGCACCTGGCGCATGGCTACATTTCTCAAATAAATCTGATTGAGGGTGGAGAAATCTGAAATATCTGAAAGGCAAGACAATTTTATGACAGTCATGAAATTCTGCAACAGCAACATGCACAGAATGACCTCCGTATAAAAAAAGTATCACCGCCACTGCTCACATGTTTCCCCGCAGAAGAACATGCATTATGCTAGTGCCATTTTCTGCAAGAAAAGGCTTGCATGTCAATGCGTATAATAATTATGGTATTGATATGATGTGAAGGCCATCATTTACATATTGATATAGGGCATTCCATTGATTGGTGACAGAAAAAACAAAAGAAATTATAGCAATAAAAACTGCTTTATGGCAGTTTTCTAAAAAAAGTTATTGAGTTCTAGTCTATGGACCCCGTCTAAAAAGTAAGAAATTAACGAAATGTGATAGCTGAAAATTAAAATTTCACACAAAACCTCACAATAATCACACACAGAATGAAAAGCTACATGCAGAAGACCTTTTCCCCTCGTGATCCTCTTTCCTATGCATTGGTTGGTTGGTTGTGTTTATTTAAATTCGCAAACCGAACGGACTGAACATGTCCAATGACAAGGAAGCGAATGAAGTCCAAATAACCCAGGAATGGGGACAGAGATGAAAAGAAAATAATGGGAACAGATGCATGTATTGTTGCCACTTTGATTGTTGGTGCCGCACAAGTTTAGTGTTGAAAGCAGCATTTCAAGTGTTGTGATTATTGTGAGGTTTTGTGTGAAATTTTAATTTTCAGCTATCACATTTCGTTAATTTCTTACTTTTTAGACGGGGTCCATAGACTAGAACTCAATAACTTTTTTTAGAAAACTGCCATAAAGCAGTTTTTATTGCTATAATACTACAGTACAGTCAACTTCGCGTATAACGACACTCGGCGGGGCATCAGAAAAGTGTCCTTATTCGCGAAGTGTCGTTATACCCGAAGTCCCATTATATGTAATTCAGCTGGATGTGACTTTGCCCTGGGCATGGAAATTCTGTCGTTATTCGCGAATTGTCGTTATATCCACAGTCGTTATTAGCGAAGTTGACTGTACCTTGATATAATTATACATGTACATGTACATGTACATGTACATGTATGTACAGTTGTTTACAAAACATTTCTCAGTTTGCATTGGGTGCATCGGATACACTCTTTTTTTTATACATCAGTGAACATGTAATATAAACAAACCGGGATGATGTAATAATTATACATGTAAAGTACAATACAGAGTCATGTACTTTGTCTTTTTAAGGACGCTGCAGACACTTTCCCAGTTAAAAAAAAATCGAATATACATGTACATGTAGCATCATCAGTTGAGATCATTTTATGCCATAAAACGTAACCCGAAAAGCACAAATACTGCATCCGTACCGTGGCAGAAAGTATTCAGGTACGCTCGTACTGTGTTAGGGCCTGGTCAGACTGCGGCAAATTTTGGTTGCCTGACGAAAACAGAACAGCGTCCAGAATTTGAATCGCGATCACACTACACATGTGGGGAGAGTGAAAATTCAAACTTCATTTCGAGCGTCAAGTGGTAATCTCCACGAACGACGTCAAATTCCTTCACCTTGGGGATCGCCAACACCTTCAGTGCAATCCTTGCAACCATCCTTATGAGTTTTGTTGTTGTCCGTGGCCAATTAGCTCCTCGATATCGAGATGAAAAAAATCAGTGATTATCAGCGTCAATGGCGTATCAGCGTCAAATCCTGTTTGGAGCGGAAAAGCGTGGTCCGTTCTTGCTTTTTTTTTGGAGCGTCAACTCTCGCTTTTGCCGCTCTGGCGGCAAGTTACTATGGAGATTCGGATTATAATCCTAGGATTATTTCGATTTCGCCGCAGTCTGACCAGGCCATTTCGCTTGGAATTAACTTTCGCTATAATTCGTTAGGTTGAGTTGGGTAACTCCGCTCTTCTTCCTCGCTCACCGGAGGAATTTCTCTAGTCTCCTCGCGCAACTGGGGAGCACTCCAATGGAGAGAGAAAGATTTTTATAGGGCGGCTTGGTGTGAGAGGTGGACTGAGACTTGACGGCGCTAACGGCGAATATCAAGACCTTACGGCCACGGAGCTGCGGGACTCTGCGCTGGTCGTCTATCCGTGTGGAGGCAAAGCAAACGCGGGCAACATTCTGCTGAAGCGAGCGTGGAGCTGAAGCTGGATTGGTGACTGACGCACCTGCTTACTCCACAACACCGGCGCATAATGATGTGCATGTACAAGACTTCGTGAGTATTCAACTCAAATTCGTGTTCCGTCAGCGTCAGTATCAGCAAGTACAGTCATGTAGTACAATTTGTTCCCAAAATAACTTCGGGACAGTCTGTTCATGGTTTTCATTTGTATTGGACTCGTTCTCTACACTTGCGATAATTTAGCGGCAATTCTAACGTTGTAGCGTTGTTCTCTTGTAATTTAGTGGAACCTGTATTGAGTAACTGAGTTTTATGTTTCGTTACATTGTCGTCAGATCTCCTGTGTACCGGTTTTGTGGCACAATGATTATAGCCATTATATTTGGTCGTCTCCATTCTTGTGCAATCATGCGTACATGTATGTAGGTTGGTTCTCTTCATGTTATTGTGACCAATTTCATAGATGTTGGTTGCCTTGTTGCTTTCTCTCCCCTCTCCTCTCACCCAAGCCATTCTGCATAAGCGAAGCTGTGGACGCAGCATACTGCTGCTACACTTCAACGCGGGAATGCGTATAATAATAATAATAATATAATTCGTTAATTTTTTTGCAATAATAATAATTGTAGCTGACATGGGATATCATACTGTCATAATGGCACGACAATCAACATAAAATTTGAATTCAAATCGATACTCAAAAAAATTTTTATGGCAATGACCAGATGACGTAATCATAAACAGCCGCGCCTACGCTCGTAGATCTTCTTTTTTTTGCGAGTACGACATGAATATGTACTTTAGGATATGACTGTCATTATACAAGTCATGTAGATGAAGTACATATACAAGTCATGTACATGTAGATGTACAGTTGGCACCTATGACGGATAATGCTCGAAAAGGTGGCAGATTCTGGGCCATTTCTGGCAGATTCTGATTTTTTTGCACCGAAATTGGCAGAACCATACAAACCTATGGCGGGCAATTCCTCGAATTCTGCTCCATTTCGTTATCCACATACCAAACATGCATGAAACTTACCAGAAAAAGTACCGAATTCTGCCAATTTTTCTGCCGGCATTATCCACCAAGGCCTAATCAGGGGATGGCCCACGCCTGGTAAAAAAAACAGCTACTGTAAATATTAAATACAAAATTTCGGCACTGCAAATTTTGGCACTTCACGATTTTTGACATTTCGGCGGCGATTTATTTTCGGCGTGGGGTAGAATGCATGGTATAGTGCGACAGATGCTGTGAAAAATTTCATCGGCGTTTTAATTTAGGCGTTTTGGGTCGGTGCCGAATATAGCCGAAATTAAAATTAATAGCTGCCGAAAATTTGTATATTTACAGTATATTCGTTTAACAGGGGGCACGAAATAACTAAAGTTTTTTTTCTGACCGTTCGGGGTGACGGACCTCGACCAAAAAGGAAATTTAGTACGTAACAAGCCTGCTGGTGGAGTGATCTAACGAAAGATTTTGTGAACGAAAAGTTTGTACTTATATAGTAGTGGATAATGAGAGCAAAGGGCAAACCGGGTTCTGTTGGAGCTAGGGTAAGTGGTTGATCAGGAACACCACCACTGCCAAATACGGATCAAAGCTTGAAAAGGAATTTGAAAACTAGTAAGCTGAATAATAGAGTTCTCTAAGAGGAGAATGGCGGGGCCGTGAGTCGAACCAAGCGGTTTGATCACGCGTGACGCGCGAGTGAAATCCAGCAGTTAGGTAATGTCATGGCGAGTGGATGGAAGGAGGTAAACCGCGTGCGAGTGGATGGAAGGAGGTAAAGCATGTGTTAGTGTAAGTGGATGGAAGGAGGAAGATCATGAAAATTAATAATTCTACACAAAAGCATCACGCTACTTGGGGTATACAATGTGTGCCTTTGTCTTTCAGCGAACAGAAATAATTTACAATAGTAGTCGAATCATTGAAGCATAAAAGCCGCAAATGCATTCCAGCATAAGTGTTTTCAGCGACGCTTGCTTGCCTGAGACTAGACTGCATGGGTGACAATTACATGATATTTATGATGGAGAGTATTCATATGCACTACAAGACTATGTAGCATGCTACCATGGTGATTCGCGCCACAGCATGCTACCATGGTGATTCGCGCCACACACTGAGTGTCCAGACATACAGTTCGAGGATTATAGACACAAGCGGGTTTTCATAGGGTTTTCATAGGGTTTTCACAGGGTTTTCATAGGGTTTTCATGGGGTCTTCATAGTTGCACCATCATGACATCATTAGCAGCGAGATTATTATTATAGACAACACCTCATGGCATGAGAAGAAAATCAGCCAGTACGGGAGATGTGGGTGTTAACCAACCATGGTGAATAACAGAAGAAAAGTAATGGTCAAGACGGAGAAGCATGGGAGGGACAGGTGATGGTGAATCTAGTGAGCAGATTTAAATGCGTCCAGGGTACTGGCATTGCGCGTAGTAGCGGGCAGCGCAAGCCAAGCAGAGTAAGCAACAAAGAGTGGAGAGCGTACAAGGGAGGACGTTTTAGCCAAGGGGAGGGCAACAGAGCATCTTGTCTGGGAGCCATCTGTGATTCGGAACCAGTTATACACGTTAAGATGAGGAGGATGTAGAGCTAGTTTAAATTTGTGAGCAAAAGTGCAAATTAATTTTTGACGGTGGGTCGACAGTGGGCATGATTGCAGGAGTGACGTAATGCACGGCTAAGTGCGGCTGAACGGATTACTGCCGTGCAGCGCAGCAGCGGGTTGGTGTGGTCGTAGCGACTGCGGCTGCTGCTGTTGCCATGGTTGCGGCGGCAGTGGTTGGTGATTGGCTGCGCTGGCCTGTGGCGATGGCCATGCGCTGGCGGTGTTGGCTGGTCCGTGCCCCGCCGCCGTCGGGATAGCATGACGTGATGCTGGATTGGCAATTGTAAACTGTAGCTGCAATGGCATGGAAACCTGCTGGCGGTGAGGTGCTGGCGGTGGTAGGGGTGGTGGTAGATTGGATGAAGGATGATTACTAGCCACTGAAGTTTTACTAGCTACCGTTTGCTGCATAGAGAAGTTTGGACTCAGCTCGCTGGATGTTTTCTTGTTGGGAATAGGCTGTGGAACAACATTGTCGTAGCGATTCTGTTGCCGTGGTAATGGGTATACACCAGCAGATAACACCGTGTTGACAGTTCCAGCAGTTGATTGTGCCGGCAGACCGCTATCACCAGTGTTCTGATGTGGTCGTTGGGGTGGTGGTGGTTGCTGGGGGAGGTTTGCTAGTACGTTGCTTGATGCCGGTGGTGGTGGGACCATGGCTGGGTTAGAGGGCACTACACTGGCATCACTCACATCTGCTGACGCGACTGGTGTGGAACTGGAGAAGGACAATAGCTGCTGCCGTTGTTCTGGAATTGCATACGACGACACGGGCAGTAGACTAGGCTGTCCTCCAGCAAACACCCTGGACGATGGCCGCGGTCGACTGATCGATAGCGCCGTCGCGTCTCGCCCTGGCCTCCTAGGCACGACCGCAGCCTGGTTACTGGTTGTCACGGCAGCAGCAGCGTGTACGACCTGTGGCTGTGAGTCACGTGACTGTGTCTGCACTACCCAGTCGGACGGCGTGGCAAAGTCGTCAGCATTTTGGTTGACGTAAAGGTATGTGTCTGATTCGTCTGCCCTGGCGTTCTTCATGGGAGCTTGCACCTGTGATGTGATGTCATTGATAGGGTTTGACGATGTCATAGGATTCGATGATATCATAGGGGTTGATAACGTCATAGGTGCAGTCATCCATGCTGTGTCAAGTGGCTGGCTCACAGGAACAGCAGCAGTAGTAGTAGCATTAGCTGCAGCAACACCACTACCACCATCGCTAGCAGTGATACCTGATGTAGCGAACTCACGTACTGTCCTTGCAGCTCCACTGTCCTTAGTCAAGATGACATCATACACCAAGCTTCCATCACAGTCATCCGTCGCATCCGTATCGATGGACCCAGGCTCACGTGGCGTTGGTCGGGCATTACTGGTTGGCGTGACAACCGTTTGAACATTCCTGCCCTTGATGTAGTCATACTGTGGTTCTTGCTCGGCGGAGTCGTAAGATGATGACTCCGATCGGCTTATCACCCCGGCAGTAGAACGTAGCAGAGAAGTGGCCGTCAGTCCAACATGGTCACTTTGTCCCGTACCCTGCTGCTCAGTGTGAGCCGCGGCAGCAGAGGCAGTGGCAAGCAGGGTTAGAGGTTCAGCGGGAGCCGGTGGAACAGCCCTAGGCGTGGGCGCTAGCGGAGCTGCGGTAGCGCTGTCCAGAGTCGAATAGATGTCATCGTCGGCAGCCGCTGGCGTCACCTCCGTCGATTGTTCATTGACATCCTCATAGCCGGCCATTTCCTGTGCCACAGAAACACAGACAGAACAAACACACATACTGAAAAAAGGAGAGAAGGGCAGATGAACAAAGAGACAGAAGGGTGGATGGAAATACAGACAGACAGACATATATTGGGGGTGGGAAGGTCGAGGCCGCAATCACAATTGCAATTTGCAGGGAATACGGATCGCGTAGACCTTCGAGGTCCGGGGTTGAACCGGGGTTGAACCGGGGTTGAACCGGGGTTGAACCGGGGTTGAACCGGGGGGGGGGTTGAACCAGGGTTGAACCGGGGTTGAACCGGGGTTGAACCGGGGTTGAACCGGGGTTGAACCGGGGTTGAACCGGGGTTGAACCGGGGTTGAACCGGGGTTGAACCAGGGTTGAAACACACAAAGTTGCAGGTACAGTCAAACCTCTTTAGGACGAACATCAAGTGACCGACGATATTTTGTTCGCAATAACGGGAGTTCTTCTTATCCATCTGTTTTACCCACTGAATACACAGGGTTTTATCCAATATAGTCACGAATACTAGTTCTTCTTAGGCAAACATTTGTCTTCTCAGTCGGTTCTTCCTAACGTCATCTCACTGTACTATGATTCTGTTTCTTCTCCTTAGACGTCTCCTGTGCTCCCCGGGTACCTGAGTCCCATCGACTAACTCAGGGTGTCCGTCAGAAACGCCTATGATGTGAGATGTGCTCCCGTGTGAAGTGCGAATTCATTTGACAATGAAGGATGAACTTACCCTGGTTTTCCACTCTTCCGCACAGCTTCTCAGCGTTTGCTGGATTTTCTCTCCTTGAAACGTCATCACCGTAAACTCAGTGTTATCGTGGAACATCTGTACACAACGGGGAGAAAAGGGGTACATTGTAAACAGGGAGAAAAGGGGCACATTGCACACAGGGCGGGGGGGGGAGGGGGGGGGGGGGGGAGGAGAACATTGTACACATCTGTACACAGCAGGGAGAAGAGGGGTACATTGTAAACAGGGAGAAATGGTGTACATTGTTGACATCGGTACACATGTTCAACAGTTCAGTGAAATCTGGAAAACTGGAGTCACCAAGTCCCGGGGAGGGGAGGCTGGATTGCCGGGTGGCATGTTGTGAAGTCAGTATCTTAGCAGTATATTAGCAACACGACTACTTGTACTGTAGGTCTCAGTACTCAGCTGACAGTGGGCCTGTCCAACCCAAACACACATATGTAAGTATTAGCTGACAGTGGGCCTGTCCAACCCAAACACACATATGTAAGTATTAGCTGACAGTGGGCCTGTCCAACCAAAACACACATATGTAAGTATTAGCTGACAGTGGGCCTGTCCAACCCAAACACACATATGTAAGTATTAGTTGACAGCGGGTCTGTCCAACCCAAACACACAGCTGTAAGTATTAGTTGACAGTGGGTCTGTCCAACCCAAACACACATATGTAAGTATTAGTTTAGACTGTGCTGGCTATGTTCCCACACACACACAGATATACCATAAAGTCGCGGATAAAAGCCGGGTTTGCAATGCATACAAGCACAACGCGGATAGAAGCCTGAAAATCAAACCGGTCAAATGCATATAAGCCTGTCGCACGTAGAAGCCTGGCTTCTATGCAAGCGCAGATCGGGTAGGTCAAGAGTGCATGCGCTATGTACGGTGCATAGTAAAACTGCCGCCATACCGGTAGTCAGTGGCAGATCTACGCTCGTACAAGCCTGGCAAAAATATCAGTGGTGCATATAAGCATGGTTTGCATATAAGCATGGTTTGCATACAAGCCTGGTTTGCATTAAAGCCTGAAGCAGAAAGCGGCTTATGTGCTTTTAACCTTTAAAAAGGGGAAGTCCGGTGAAAAATTTAAATTTCACAGTCCGTAGAGTTCGGGTCGCTGAGTCGAATGGTCTTTGTCCGAGGAGGCTGCGGCCTTTGGTTCGTCAGATACGCCCAATCGAACATGTGCGAATTTAAGCGCGCATCACCCAGATCCAGGTGATGACGTCACAACGTGCAGCCAGGTAGCCAAAGGTAGCCACACCATCTAGTCGTGTACAAAATGGCCATATTCGGAGCGCGTTCGATTGGGGAACCGTTTGTCGCGGCTTCTTCGGACCAAGACCATTCGATTCAGTGTTACAAACACTACGTACCCTGTGATTTTCAGCTCGGTAAACCTGGAGGTTATACCGTATTTTAGCCGTTTCCGAGTTGGACTTTTTCCGTCAGTGCTCTACGGCTCTAGGCTAGCAATGCGCTGCGTGCATGCTAGCTGTAGTGCAGTCAACAAACTCATCACACATGGAACTACTCCCGCACTGCCATGCTGGGCTAGCTACAACAAGACTCGAGACACAAGACTCAGAAAACTAGTCAACACACGGACTTGTCATGTACTACACTCGTATCAGTCGTATTGTACAGTCATGCAGTCAGAGAACGTGCGTTTCTCCTTGCCGGTGCCGGTGGTTGTGCTTTGAGAAAGAAAATTTTAGTTTTCCGCTCCAGTCTGGCCTCATTATTTTATGCTACAGCGATGAGTGCACAACCGTGACAAGTGACAAAACAGCGAACAGCTCCCGGACCTAGAACTTTCAGATTCCATAGCGTTGCGAGCGAAGAGCCGTGCCCGTGGTTCAAAGAGCCTGCACTGTTCTCCAATTGAGTAGTCCGAAATAAGCCAAGTTCGCACCAAAACATCACCATGTGGCAGGCTACTAGAGTCTAAGCGAATCGGTATGGAACAACATTTAGAGCACTCGCATCACTCTTCTCCATTTTGGCGACCCTGCTCTCCAGCGATCTGATAATTATATCAGCCTCGTCTGCAATAGCTGCTGCTTCTTCATCAGTCGGAAACTCAGTAGCGCTCACTCTTGACCGGCCCGCGCGGCCATTTCTTCAGCTGAATACCGAGGTTCTCAGCCCCAGACCAAACTCATGAAGGTCAGCCATGGCTGCATCCTCACTCTCACAAGGAGTCAGGTCTTCGGGGTCGCTTGCACCACCTAATATCAGTCGCCAAATCATTTGAAATAGCACTGACACTATTGCTTTCACGCACTCCTTTTGACCTAGCTGCACGCTATGACGTTGCGGAGGGTGTGGCGCGGCCGCATGACGTCATGGCGCAGCCCCCGAAACTCAGTTTTTCAAACGGAAATATCTCGAGAACGCTGTCGGAGACACGTGGGACCAACACCATTCGACTCAGCGCCCGAAACTCTACCGACCCTGAAATTTTAATTTTTCCCCGGACTTCCCCTTTAAAAGCCCCTTTTATCCGCGACTTTACGGTATGTATCAGTTTGGCCTGTGTTGGCTGTATACCCTCAACCCTAGACCAGAAGAGTATACCCTCAACCCTAGACCAGAAGAGTATACCCTCAACCCTAGACCAGAAGAGTATACCCTCAACCCTAGACCAGAAGAGTATACCCTCAACCCTAGACCAGAAGAGTATACCCTCAACCCTAGACCAGAAGAGTATACCCTCAACCCTAGACCAGAAGAGTATACCCTCAACCCTAGACCAGAAGAGTATACCCTCAACCCTAGACCAGAAGAGTATACCCTCAACCCTAGACCAGAAGAGTATACCCTCAACCCTAGACCAGAAGAGTATACCCTCAACCCTAGACCAGAAGAGTATACCCTCAACCCTAGACCAGAAGAGTATACCCTCAACCCTAGACCAGAAGAGTATACCCTCAACCCTAGACCAGAAGAGCATACCCTCAACCCTAGACCAGAAGAGCATACCCTCAACCCTAGACCAGAAGAGCATACCCATGCAACAGGAATGATGACTGGCATACATCTGGACACACGGACTTACAATTCCAAACACGGAACTTGATACCATGCTGTTAAGGACATCGGTCAGTGCCCACGTGGACACCACCTGTAGCATTGACACGTATACATACAACATACACAGACACACATACACGTATACATACACAGACACACATTGTACATACATGTAGTCATACCCATACCCATACACGCACACACGCACACAAAGATGCACATACACACACACACACACACACACACACACACACACACACACACACACACACACACACACACACACACACGCACACAAATATGCACATACACACACTGTTGTGTTTGCCTCACTCCCAACATTGCCACCCCGGTCTCCATCGTGCCAAGTCAAAATTCACCAAGCATGGTCCCAACTCGGGTCATGCACAGCCACAACACAGACCAAGCATGGTCCTTATATGGGCCAAGCACGGTCCTTATATGGGCCAAGCATGGTCTTTATATGGGCCAAGCATGGTCCTAACACAGGCCAAGCCTGGTCGTTAAGATGGCCCAAGCATGGTGCTAACACATGCCAAGCATGGTCCCAACATAGGTCAAGCATATCCTGACTCGAGCCAACTATCACGGTCCCCAATTCGGTTTTAAAAGCATGTTCCTGAATTCTGTTTAATTGAGCACTGTCTTGGCCAGGCAGTCTCAACTCACTGCGTCAGGCAGGCACAGTGGGCTGGTCAAAGACCATAATTGAGATACGCGAGGTACAGTAGATATTGGTTATAACGTGCCCTTCTGATTTTTCACATTTTATCACTATAACCGGTATATCACTACAGGCGATTTTCAACTGCGCGCCTCATACATACACATTATACACGTGTGGGTACTCGATCGCGCTAATGTAGCGTACTGATACGTGATGGATGCTACTGCACCTTCTCCAGTCTAGAGTGAAGAACTTCTTGGCCCAAAGGCATCATCCAGGAAGCGCCAGACCAGAATACCCTATGACAACACACATATGGCTCCAAGTCGAGACATCAATGCCTCATACTCGTGTGTTGCTATCACTATAGACGATAATTTTTCTGCACAAAGAGGTGTTTTGAATGGTGATTCTGTATCCTTATAGCCGATTTATCCCTATGTACGATATATTGGTTATAATGATAATGTGACTGGCTTTTTTCTGGTTTTGCTTTTGATATTTTCATTTTGTATCAATATAGCCGGTTTATCACTATGTCCGATGACTTTATAACCGATATCCACTGTACCTGGTTCAAGTCCTGTCTGGGAGCGGTTTTTTCCAGCCGTGCTGCTACCCACAGTCAACTGGGAACTTGTGGTCAGGCACAAGGGGTACATGGATGCGGCTAATGGGGTCGTTCTCGGCACTTATGTCAGTGGTTGTGAAACTTATCCACTCACCCCCACCCTTAGGCGCTGCATCTGCCGCTAGGGTTTACCGGGTGTTAGAGGCAGTCGTGAGTTCTGTGCCGCAATGTACAGTATGTGTGCTGCAATGTACAGTATGTGTGTTGCGATGTACAGTACGTGTGTTGCGATGTACAGTACGTGTGTTGCGATGTACAGTATGTGTGTTGCGATGTACAGTATGTGTGTTGCGATGTACAGTACGTGTGTTGCGATGTACAGTACGTGTGTTGCGATGTACAGTACGTGTGTTGCGATGTACAGTACGTGTGTTGCGATGTACAGTATGTGTGTTGCGATGTACAGTATGTGTGTTGCTGTGTTTGTGTATTGCTGTGGCTGGCTAAAACACTGTGAAAGAAGAACTGAGACGGCCTGCAGCGAAGTCGAAGCTTGTGTGCTCTGGCACATGGTCATGCAGTCATGCAGTCACGCAGTCATGCAGTCATGCAGTCACGCAGTCATGCAGTCATGCAGTCATGCAGTCCATGCAGTCATGCAGTCATGCAGTCACGCAGTCACGCAGTCATGCAGTCACGCAGTCCATGCAGTCATGCAGTCACGCAGTCACGCAGTCATGCAGTCACACAGTCACGCAGTCACGCAGTCACGCAGTCACGCAGTCATGCAGTCATGCAGTTGTTGTAACTGCCACCAATGTTGTAACTCGCTTTTCTCTACCTGCTCCCAGTCCCGTGCCATCTCCACACTTATACAAATGGACGACGATAACTACATTTAGAGGACTGTTTATTGACACGACGAAGAAACACAACTAGACATGACGAACTCAAGACGAAGACAGCTTGAACTCTCAAGACGAAGACATCATGAACTCGAGACGAAGACTGCTTTTTACACCACAGCAACACGCGCATGCACCAACATGACGTACACAAAATAACGTACTACAACATAACTCCCTCCCAAGAGTAGAATCGTCCTCGATTCTAATAATAAAACAGAGTAAAAAGAGGAAAAGATCACACAAATCACTCAATCATACCACACCAGTCACACCCATAAATAAAACACCTCTGCCTGCACTGCAGATTATTAAAAACTCTGTCCGCCCACCCAGAACACCAGCCACGATCGCTGTCACATGTGTGGGAACTGATAACCTCAAAACTCTAACTAATGTTACTTATGCTTCACTCAACACACCACCTCACGATCACGCAAAAATTCTAAAAATGTGAGAGCACAAATCATAAGAATAACAAAAAGAACAGAATCCACTGGCTCTGTGGGGGCCTCTAGTTATCCTCATAGAAGAGCAAATCAAAAAACAAACAGAACACACGCGCTGTGCGGGCGCCTCTTTACCCTCGAGGAGAGCAAATAATAAAGAACAAAATGTTGGGAGAACAGAAAATACACAACTCACATACTCATCACGTTCACAACAACACACGTACCCTCTCACCAACGAAACTCCTCACGCCGTCTGCCATGTCGTCCGCCATCTCAAAGCGCTGCTCAGCGTCCACATCCTCACACTGCAGCCTTCACCTTCCATCCTTCTTTTTTTTCTGTTTCAGTTTTTCTTCTGGGCACAGTTTTACGTCGTGTCCGGGACCATCCGTCCTTCTTCTTCTTCTTCTTTTTTTTTGCTTTTCTTCTGGGCACAGTTTTACGTCGTGTCCGGGACCACCAGTGACGACGACTGACAAGAGACGGGAGAGACGAATGATGAAGGACGATGACGACGGACGAACTTCTTGAAAACGGACGAAACTGTGACGATAGGACGACTGGAGATGACATCGGAAACTGGGAGCGAAGGCCACGCAGGACGAATCCAGAAGTTGAGATTTACAAATTTCCATTACCGCTGCCACCAATGTTGTAACTGCCACCAATGTTGTAACTCGCTTTTCTTTACCTGCTCCCAGTCCCGTGCCATCTCCACACTTATACAAATGGACGACGATAACTACATTTAGAGGACTGTTTATTGACACGACGAAGAAACACAACTAGACATGACGAACTCAAGACGAAGACAGCTTGAACTCTCAAGACGAAGACATCATGAACTCGAGACGAAGACTGCTTTTTACACCACAGCAACACGCGCATGCACCAACATGACGTACACAAAATAACGTACTACAACACAGTCATGCACTCACGCAGTCTCACCACACCACAGCTACACACCTGCAGCCAATGTCGCCAATAACAGCATTGGTTACAACAACCTTGGTTATAACAACCTTGGTTATAACAAACTTGGTTATAACAACCTCGGTTATAACAGAAACACGCGAATAGCGTCTTCAGACCTAGCTATTAGCCATGGGGCCACAGTCATACTTTCAGCGTGGCAAATAACCTGCATATAACAACAACCTGCAAAATTATAACAACACTTTTCTCATGCCCCATGGAGTGTTGTTATTCGCGAGGCTCGCTGTGCATACATGTAGTGATAGTGCATAGTGTACCTGTCTGGTGTTGCCATCCAGATGTACAACAGTCCTGGGAGAGATAGCCAGTACACAGGGCATGATGACCTTCTTGTTCGGGCATGGTGCCTGCAACATTATGACACACAACATAACACAATTCACATGCATGTACACACATAGACACACAGACACACACACACAGACACACAGACACACAGACACACAGACACACAGACACACAGACACACAGACACACAGACACAAACACACACAAACACACAAACACCATTGGACCATTGGACCATTGGACGCCCAGCGCCGGAGGCGATGATAGCGATGCTACAGCAGAAGCCATAACAGCTTGTGCTGGGATTCCACACAAACACACACACACACACATACACAAACGCACACGCATGTACATACACAAATTTACAGACACGTCCTAGAACACAAAGAAAGCACCTTGGGATTTTCTTACTTGGCCCGCGTCAGCAATATTGTCGCTTATCTTTCGACAATTTGAACTTAGACTTTGGACATGAACGCGTGCACTTGAAGTGATACAACTTGGTACGGTGGACGGTAAGGTATAGAATGACAACTAGCTGGGAGGAATTTATTGTCCAAGGAAGGGTTCCTACTTTTTCGGTCCTCCTCGTCGCTGCTCTCGGCGCTGGCGACAAATATTTTTGCTCGGAATCGACTCTCTTGCTTTTGCAAGCTCATCTCTCTTCCTCTCCGCTGCCTGGCTATTTTCTAAAGAGAAGTCGATCGTGACGGTCGCCTTCTCTATAGGACTTCGCGTGGGCAGCACGACAGCCTGTATGGTTCAAATCAGACGCCGTTCTTTGCAAGATTTTATTTTGAACGACGACGACGCGTGCAGTACTTGCAAATCTCCACGACGCGCTGGATACTCCGAGCGTTGAGCTGGAGATAAGGGAGCTGCGATCTCAGCTTGATGAGCGATCCCTGAAGTGAACGATCTCGGCCGTTCAGCAAAATGGAGCTGATTCCGAGTAGCCGATTACTTTCTTGTGGCTTGCGCTGCTCTTGCCTGCACAGCGTAAAAAGATAATCTATTTTGATGCGGCGCTGTATCAATCAGAATCGCCCACCTGTCGCTCTCGAAATCCACTCGAACTCTAGCTAGACCTTTCAGGTACTAGCAAACTAACTTGCTAACCAAAATTGGGATGAAATGGGCTGCCAAGTAAGCATTGGTGACATATAAACAAAGCTGAAAGATAAGCGACAATATCACTGACGCGGACCAAGTATGGTTGAGATGCTTATAGAAGGAAGGAAGGAAGGAGAGAGAGAGAGAGAGAGAGAGAGAGAGAGAGAGAGAGAGAGAGAGAGAGAGAGAGAGACTGAGAGACAGACAGAAAGAGAGGATCATTTCTCACCTTGACGGCAAAGAACTTGGCCTCATATGTTGGCAACTCTTTGCAGAGATCAACATAGAGCTGCCTGGCATTGTCCAGTGTGATGTTACTATGTTCACTGAAGTGCTGTACATATCGTCATGTTCACAACCGACAGAGAGAAGGACAGACAGCCGAGGAGAAGGAAAGACATGAAGACACACAGACAGATATAGAGCCGAAAAGACAGGCATAGATCAGGATAGACAGACATATGGATAGACAGACATTATGGATAGAGCGACATACCGACAGACATTTAGCAAGAGCTTGATTGCCCAAGCCTCAATAAAATGAAGAACACATGGATTTGTGGATATGTCAATATTTCTGTATTCATCGGTATCATGTCCTATTCATCGGTATCATGTCTTATTCATCGGTATCATGTCCTATTCATCGGTATCATGTCTTATTCATCGGTATCATGTCTTGTTCATCGGTATCATGTCTTATTCATCGGTATCATGTCTTATTCATCGGTATCATGTCTTATTCATCGGCATCATGTCCTATTCATCGGTATCATGTCCTATTCATCGGTATCATGTCCTATTCATCGGTATCATGTCTTATTCATCGGTATCATGTCTTGTTCATCGGTATCATGTCTTGTTCATCGGTATCATGTCTTATTCATCGGTATCATGTCTTGTTCATCGGCCGACTATCATATCACAGTTCTCCACTGACATAAATGTATAGTTGCGCTCGGTGAAATCCGACGGACAGACAGATCGAGAGACGGATGGAGAGGCGGATGGAAAGACGGATGGACAGACGGATGGACAGACTGACTGGCAACAACCAACACATGTGAACTGGAAAGATATAAGATGGATAGAAACTATCTATTGCCGGATGCCACCTCAATTGACAAAGAAGGACGGTGGGGGGGGGGGGGGGGGGGGGCATAATCTGGGAAAACATATGATCACCTTCCAGAACAAAACATTGTGATAAATATTCGAGCACACATCACTTCAAGCAATGCATGTTAATTGACTCCTCGATGTTTCCACGCTGCTTGCAGCTCCCCCCCCCCCCCCCTCCCCACACACATGCACACAAGCGTACACACACACACACATACACACACACACACATACACACACCATGTACACACCCACCCACACACACTCCCACGCACTCGCACGCACTCACGCCCACACACCCGAGCACACACGAGAGCGTACACAGCACATGTGTGCATACCTGTTGAGATAACTTGATGGCTGACTTGTCTTTACGATAGTCTGGTGGTAAGAACTCCTTCAGCCTAAAAAAACACAAACACGCACACACGCACACACACGCTCACACACGCTCACACACACACACACACACACACACACACACACACACACACACACACACACACACACACATACGCTCACACACCTCAGACCTCAGACATGCCCATCGCGGAAGCGATGATAGCGAACAGCTATGTTAGACATAGCAACTTGTGCTGGGATTACACCATTCAACAGCTTGCAAGGCTGATGAATTGACCGCCACTATTTTTAGCCTGCTATCCACCACACAGCTGTTTGGAGTGACTTTTTCTGGCCAGTGAATCCCTATTTTTCATTTTTCCATATTTTTCTACACACACACACCACACCACATACTCCAGCATACACTGGCTGTTGGTAACCACCCAGGAGAATGAAAGAAAAGTCAGGAAGAGTATGAGAAAGAGAAGAAAGACGTGTGTGACCATAATCGTCGGGAATCGAACCCGCAACCTATCGATTGGAAATCGCTGCACATACCACTGCACCATATGGGACACACACACACACACACACACACACACACACACACACACACACACACACACACACACACACACGTGACACACACACACACACACACGTGACACACACACGCACACACACACACACACGTGACACACACATGCATGGCTATGGTCAAACAACACATGTGTGACATAAAAATTACTAGTATGTAAAAGAGTATAGCTACGTCTCCTCAGGAAATTTTATTCTCAACCCTGGAATTGAAGACACCCCTTTTTCCCTTCAGACTTCTCCCGTTTCAACTCCCTCAAGCATAATGAACAAATGTAGCAGGAGTAGTAAAATTTCCACTCTGCTGTTACAGAACGCTGCCAGGTTGAGAGAGATGCCCAGATAGGGGACGGTCCAGATAAGAAAGGGTCGAAGGTGAATATAAGCCAGGTCATGTGATGAGTCACATGATGTACGACTGGTCACATGATCAAGGAACAACCTTGTATTGGTGGATAGACACTAGGGTTATTAGAAAAAATTCTGATGATGGCCCCTGGCCGAAAAATTGACGGCAGTGGGAAATTAGTAATGTGCAGCGAAGAGACCACTTGATTTGAGGATGGTGTGTGTCGGGTTTTCAGTGTAGAAAAATTTAGTGCACGTCTTACTTTTCAGTTAGACTCTTGGGCAGCATGCTGGTCTTGGTTGCCATGACACCGCCGCCATAGGCAACGTGAGCATGTAGAGATGCTATCTACAGTATCAAAAGACAAGAAACAGGAGCATAGCGAGACATAGGCAACGGTATTACAAGCAGTCTGGAGACTTTCCCGGTTTTAATACAGAGTGTGTTATTATAATGCACAATTGGACTAGGCCATATTCACAAACACACCAAGATAATAACTCTAGGAGAGAGAGAGAGAGAGAGAGAGAGAGAGAGAGAGAGAGAGAGAGAGAGAGAGAGAGAGAGAGACACACACACACACACATACGCGCGTGCGCGTGTGTACACACACACACACCCTGGTTGATGGCATTCATGACAGTTGGATGACTACGGAGTGTTGTTTCTCAGTTTACGAATACCGGTACTGTATAATTGATTTACAGTATCTTGCTGTGTATGTGTGTGTGTGTGTGCGCACTTTTTGTAGCTCCGTTTTATCTGAGTTTTCAGTCGTTCCTCTTACTAGTCTTAGGCCACGGGGTGGCTCTGGGTCCACAGAGTCGCCCCTGGCGTGTTTCTGAATTTGCTGGGGCGAGGGTTCCGCGACGCGGTCGCCAGGGCAGTGTCTTTTCTGTCACGACCGTTGTTGTCCTCGTCTCTCCATTCGCGGTGGTGTAGCTGACCCCTGAA